TATATATATATATATATATATATATATATATATATGTGTGTGTGTGTGTGTGTGTGTGTGTGTGTGTGTATAAATATCTTTGTGTGTGTGTGTGCGAGTCTCAATATTATCTATCTATGTATCTATCAGCATGTTCCTATATTTATCTATGTATTTCAGTTTCTCCTTCTATCTATCTATCTATCTATCTATCTATCTATCTATCTATCTATCTATCTATCTATCTCGGTGTATGCATATCTATCTATCTATCTATCTGTTTCCTGTGTATGACGATGAAATACATCCGACAGCAAGGCCTCTGATCAGAAAGATTGTTGGCATTAAATAACCCATTAATGTTGATATACCATAAAAAAAACATAAACAAACAAATCTATCTTAGGCTACACTTCTTTTTATCTATCTATCTATCTATCTATCTATCTATCTATCTATCTATCTATCTAATTCAGTCTGTCCTTCTATGTATCTATCTGTCTATCTATTTCAGTCTGCCGTTCTATCTATCTATCTATCTATCTATTAATCGATCTCAACCTGTTCGCTGATTCATCCCCGTATCTCTCTGTGTCTCTATCTCTTTCTCTCTCTCACACCCTATTTATTTCTCTATCCATCTCGTTTTTCTCTCCTAATGAGTCTTTTATCTATAAACTATATATCTATTTTCACGCAATATATATATATATATATATATATATATATATATATATATATATATATATAAATTCAATGTCCACTTTTATATTTACATATGCTATTCTTGCTATCGAGAACTTTAATCCATAAACAGTAATTTAACTTTGCTAACCAGATGCTAAATGGAGATTTCTTGGACGTTGAGGTCGGTAAATGTTGTTAATATTGTTTATCATAAACAGAGCATTTACTAAAATATTCCTATCTACAAAAATAATTTATACACAATATATTAAAATAATTGTCGGACTCAGTCCATTTAATAATACAAATGTATATATATATATATTTTTTAAAGACATTTTTATGTTTAAACGTTCTTTTTTATAGATACAAATATTTAAGTAAATGCTCTGTTTATAATAAACAACATTTACCGGCTCGAATGTCCGAGAAATTTTATAGATAAAATTCATCTTCGACAGGAATCGAACCTGTATCCTATACGGAACCGTCATATAGCCTAAAGTGCCTTTAACCGATCGGGCCACATAGGAGCACTCAATTTTGCTGTCTTTAAAATACAGTCTTCTATGAATCTCTCACGTATATTCATATCTGCTCGATGCGTATCCAAATGTAAATAAATGACGTCACACATTATGAAATGGATAAAGACCGACAATTATTTTAAGACATTTTTATGTTTATACATTCTTTTCGGTTCCATATAGGATACAGGTTCGATTCCTGTCGGAGGACGAATATTTTCTATGAAAATTTCTCAGACATTTAGGCTGGTTTATGTTATTCAATACTGTTTATTATAAACAGAGCATTTACTTAAATAATTGTATCTATAAAAAGAATGTATAAACATAAAATGTCTTAATATATATATATATATATATATATATATATATATATATATATATATATATATATAAGACTTTTACATATGTAAAAAAAATACCCAAAAAACCTTTCTATTACGTAAAACAACGATGGATGTGCCTTTTGTGGGCCGGTTATGAATATGAAAACTGATATTAGCGACCAGGGTTCGAATTTAAGTCGGATTCGTTATGTTCGCTCTCACAAAAATTCCTTTTACAAACAGGGTATGAATATATTTCACTTCTCACTAACTTCTTGTTGTCCTGACTGCAGGAAGTCCTCTTCGATTGTTCCTGTCTTCAAGAACTCTGGCGACCCCTCTGACCCTTCTAATTACCGTCCTATCAGTCAACCCCTCTTCGGCAAAGTTTTCGAAGCCCTAATCAATGCCGAAGTGGTTAACCACCTCACATCCCATGATCTGCTCTCAGACAAGCAATATGGCTTCCGCTTTGCCCAATCTACAGCTGATGTGCTTACGGCCATCACTGAAACTGTCTTCCAAGCTCTTCAAAATAACGGGGAAGCTCGTGCCGTGGCCCTAGACATCTCCAAAGCATTTGATAGGGTTTGGCATGCCGGCCTTCTTCGTAAGCTCCAGGGTTATGGCATTACGGGTCGATGGTTTGACCTAATACAATCATTCCTGTCAAACCGTGAATTGAAGGTCGTTCTCAACAGATTCTCCTCCAGTTCCTATCCCACGAACGCAGGTGTTCCTCAAGGCTCCATCCTTGGCCCCACTCTATTCCTTATCTATATAAATGACCTTCCTGACGCCATAAATTCTCAAGTTGGCATCTACGCGGATGACACCACAATTTATTCCTGCCTCAAAAACAAATCTAGTGTCGCTGACAAAACTAACCTGACCGTACGTCTCGAAAAGGACCTCCAATCGGTTGTGAACTGGGGCAGGAATTGGCTGGTCAACTTTAATGCCTCAAAAACAAAACTGCTCTCTATTAATCACCACAGAGATCCTTCCCTGCCCTCCATTAGAATGTCTGACGCTCAACTTCTCGAGAGCAACTCTCTACGGCTTCTCGGTCTCACGTTGACGGCTGACCTGAGATGGAACAAATGCATTGAGTCAATAGCTTTGTCCACCGCAAAGAAAGTTGGCTCCCTGTGCCGCGCCAGGAAATTTTTCTCTCCGGAATCGATCCTCCAGATCTACAAATCAACAATTCGCCCTTGCATGGAGTATTGCTGCCATATATGGTGTGGAGCCCCTTCTGTTTGCCTCGCGGTTCTTGATAGGCTCCAGAGGCGGATATGCAATATAATTGGCCCTGATCTGGCATCTCGTATACAGTCGCACTCTCACAGACGCGACGTCGTCTCTCTCTGTCTTTTTTACAAAATACTTTCATGGTAATTGCTCCGATGAGCTGCTTTCACTGGTTCCCAGACTCCATGAATTCAAGCGCCCTACGAGGCTGGCATCCCGCTCTCACCCTTTCACTGTAGAAACTTCTCTTCTACTCCAATAGCTTCATACCTCGCACCTCTCGCCTGTGGAACACTCTTCCCTATTACTGTTTCCCTGGGAGCTATAATCTTCATCTATTCAAATGTAATGTCAATCGACATCTCCAGTTGCCTTGATCTATCCACTATCCTTCTCTTTATCCTTTCCTCTATCACTCTTATCTGATCTTGCTCCAAATCTTCTGTAACCTCTTGCGTCCTAGTGGCTTCCCGCCTTGCTTGGGGTGAAACGCTTAAAAAAAAATATCAAGAACGACAACCCTCAAAAAGTCTCTGAAAAGGAAAATTTTTATTCAAAACCAGCATGGAACGGGATGAACTCTGTCATGTTATTTTACCATAGACACTCCACTATCACTATAGCTGCAGTACATGTGATTTACATACTCTCGTGGCAAACCCAATGAATCTAAAAATTATATAGCCCTACCAACTAACTCTATCACATCTGCAATTGGAAAAAGATCTATCTAAACGCAACATAAAATTTGTTTCTACAATAAAACAATAAAAAACTTAAACAAAACTGCAAGGTAAAACCTGAAGGAGGAGTCTACTCGATCACCTGTAATAATTGTCACGAAAAATACATAGGTGAAACATCAAAGATTCAAAATAAAATATTATATGAACACAAAAAGGGTATTTTACAAAACAATACATCAAATGCGTTGGTTGCCCAACGTAACAAGACTGACCACAATTTTGAGATAAAAATATGATACTCTGATCAAAGGAAGAAATAATTCAATACGAAGGAAATATATTGAGAGTGCCTTGATCGCAAGATCATCTACAGTAAATTTGCCCCCAAGGCTCTTACAACATTACACCATACTTGACAGATCTTCTATTATCCCAAGGTAGGATATATATATATATTGGTTCTTGATATATAAATATATATATCGTTTTCACACGCGCGATAATAATTTGGTACGCAGTGTATATATATATATATATATGTATATATATTTCAATAAAGGTGCAATTAATTTACAAATTCATGCATTATTCATACAAAAACAAATACAAAGGTTAATGATTTAATTGGCGAGAAATCCTTCGTCGCGAACAATTCAAATAATATACAAAAACCCCCGTCTATAAATTTCTGCTGCATTAGTTCTTATTTTTATCACCATATTTGTACATGAAGGCACAACTGTAAAAAATTTAAAATCAAACTCAGCGTTGCTACTGCACGCTCCAAAAACAATAACTCATTTCTAATAGCATTTTTCGGATACAACAATACATATATTTTCGTTGTCCTCTTATTACTGAGAGAAAAAACAAGAACAACATCTATTCCATACCTGGAGATGTCTGTAGGAACAGACGAAAGCTTGTAGTAAAAATAAGAACTAATGCAGCAGAAATTTATAGAAACAAGGATCTTTTCATTCATAACAGGTTCGGGGGGGTTGTATATTATTTGAATTGTTTGCGACGATGGATATCTCGCCAATTAAATCATTAACCTTTGCATTTGTTTTTGTATGAATAATGAATATATATATATATATATATATATATATATATATATATATATATATATATATATAATTCTCTTCAAGTCTATCTAATTATCTCTTCATCGATATCTGCCTATCTAATTATCTCTTCATGTCTATCAATCTATCTATCTATATATATATATATATATATATATATATATATATATATATATATATATATATATATATAATTATCTCTTCATATCTATCTGTCTAAGACATATTTAAGAAAATAGTTTCGTGAATACGAGGCGTATTCCTTTCGCATGGTCTGTAGAAAGTGAACTCTACAGCAAAGCCATTTTTCTTCGATTGCTCTCACAAGCAATAAAACTTCAAAAGTTGTCACGCCCATTCTAAATCTTTATACGTCCCAGCATGGACATTTGCTAGGCCGGTCATAATACCCACACTTCCTGAAGCCGAGGCGTAACTTTAATCGCCGTGAAAGCTCAGAAACATACTAAAAAGTTCTGGAGCTGAAATCGACAGCCATAACGAAAGACCCCCGCCTTTCTACCCCAAGGAGGAAATTACAGGAAGCCTCGTCGTCAGAAGAATGAGTCCAAGAAATCTACTTAGGTGGGCGCTAATTTACAGGATATAAGTAATTTGGTAAGTATTAGTTAATGTCATTACGGCCAGGGTAGCTGATTTGCAGTGAGCGCGTGTGGCAGAGCTGGGCTGTTCTGGTAGGCGGACAAGAGCGTCATCACATTTCAACGGAATGCAGGCCTGACCTGAACGAAAGAAATAATGAAAATCACTTTATCTACTTACCTGACGAACCGCTATCGGGGAAGTATATAAACAGGGAATCATGATAGTTGGCCTTGTCAAGGTTGATAATAGGTGTAACAGATTTTACTTGTTTTGCGTTACCATTCTGAAGGTGAAAAGCTCATTCTAGAAAAACTTCTCTACGAGTTCATGCACACATTTTCTATCAGCTGACATACTGTTGTGGCCTTGTTTA